AAATTTTCTGGTTGAATCTCTCTTTTATTATTCTTCAATCTTGTTTCACAGTTCTAAATCCTCCATTTAATCAATTTCATAGTAGCATCTGTGTGTTTGTGAGAAAGATATCTTTCTCCTCTGTTTTTATTTTCCTTCTGTGTTTAAATGAGGGACTGGTGGGGCTTATTATAGAAGGATTACCCATTTGACTGTACTTTCTCCTACCAAATTATTGTGTTCATTGGTAATGTGGGATGTATTTAATTGCTTTTAAATTTGAATGCATAAATCATATGTAAGATCATCAAAAGTGTTTTAAGTGATCTACATGGTGTTCTAATGAGTGAGATAAACTTCAAGAAGTTAAAAATTAGTGCACTCATTAAATTTCTCTGCCAAGAAATAAGAAATTTTTTAAAATAGTAAAAAATAGTCTGTGCTCTGAAAATCTCAAAGTTCATTGGTGGACACTTCTGTTGAATCAGAAGTGGTTGAGTAAATATCTAAACTGCTCTTTCGGTGATAATAAAAATGTGTTTTATTCATTTCTTTCTGTTCATTGATCCAGTCATCAGAGTAGTCATGGTCCATATAATAAATCCAAACCCAGATTTGGATGCTGCAAACCATAACAATGACATGCCTGACAAAATATACTCAGTGATGCACAAGTTGCATGGATGTTATTGAAGTAACCAACCACCTTCTGATTGTATCTGATACCCGCTTCATGAGTTGGAACCCATACCTGGCACCAATAAAGGGGCCAAGAACCTGTGCCTCGATAGGTCATAGGTCCTTGGGGATAACCCAATACTATTATTCTACTAAGTGACATGGTATTAAAATGATTCCTAATAAACTGTTGTGATACACATAGGTTAGAGCATTTCTCAACCATCACCAGAGGAGCTTCTCTTTTCAGTAGATGGCAATTAACACACACACACAAAACTTAACTAGTCAATATGTAGAAAATAAAAGACTATGGAGTGCCCAGCCCTTGTGGTGGTTTGAGTAAGAATGGTTTCCCCATAGGCTTTTTTGTTTCGATATGTGGTCCACAGTAGTAGAAATATTTGGAAAGGATTAGGTAGGAGGTGTGGCCTTGGATGAGATATGTAACTGGGGGCAGGCTTTGAGGTTTCAAAATACTTCCACCATTTCCAGTCTCTCTGCCTATTATTTGTAGATCAAAATGTATGCTCTCCAGCATCATGCCTGCCTGCCTGTTGCTATGCTTCCTGTCATGATGGTCTTGGACTCTTAACCCTCTGAAATTCTAAGTCTCAAATTAACTGCTTTCTTTTATAAAGTGCCTTGATGCTGTATCACAGTAATAAAAAAAATAACTAAGATGATCTATTACCAGAAACCCACAGAATCTGCTTAAACGGTAAAGGAATTTACTAGGAAGGAAGACTCTCTACAGAACAGGAGATTTCTCATAGGGTCCTGGAAGGCCTAAGTACATGTTGTTCTTCCACCTGATTCCCTCCCAGCAGCCAAGCCCATGAGGGAGAGAAGAGCAAGGTGTATGTGTGTCTCAGGTCTTAAGAGTAGCCCTGAGGTCACGCCCCAGGGCCAGGTTCTTCAAGGTAATAGGTAGGTAGGACAGTTACCTGCTACATCTCTAGGGTCACAGATAGAAGAGATACTTACTACAATGGTCCTAAATAGGTCAATCATATCCTACCCCTCACACTAAGTCCAAGAGATCTTCATGGAAGAGAAGAAAGACTGTAAAAGTCAAAGGTGATAGAACACATTAAATAAACAGTTTTGCCTAGGCACAATAGACTGACTGCCAGGAGATGTACTTTTGCTCTAGAATGCACAAGACACATGCAAGCTCAAGCCATATAAAATTCCTGCATAAAGGAGAAAGGTGGGCCTGAAATACCACTACTAGCTGACAGTTTTTAGAAATAATAAGTATAAAAATAATCCTAAAAATGGAACAGATCTGGAGAGCTAACTTATTGCTTCAAAAGCCTAAAGCTTAATCCATGTAGGTTACAAATGAAACATCAATCTCTGCCTTTAACAATTTAAAACACGCCGGGCGGTGGTGGCGCACTCCTTTAATCCCAGCACTCGGGAGGCAGAGCCAGGAGGATATCTGTGAGTTCGAGGCCAGCCTGGGCTACCAAGTGAGTTCCAGGAAAGGCACAAAGCTACACAGAGAAACCCTGTCTCGAAAAACAAAACAATAACAAAAATTCAAAACACATTTGTTCTTTGGCTTTTAAACACAGTCTGCATGTATGTTGTGCATTTGTAGACCATATTGCCTATTACATGCACATTTAATAAGAATGGACACTGCATCTCCCATTCTCCTCTATATGGATGGCGGTGCATAAATGGACTACAGTAACCATGTCACACACAAAAAATTAGCTGTTATTCCAGGCCGCAGTCCAACAACAGGTCTTAGAAGTTACTGATTCAGTTCACTACAAAGTGTTACACAGGGTAAAACAATGTGGGAAACCAGGCAGTGCATAAACATTTTGTTATTTAGTTTTAGTGAGACAAATGGAGATACTAGTGCTCTTTATTTAGAGATGCCCTTCAGTGCTATTCCAGAAAACACAGCACTAAAATTATACTCTGCTCACTCTCTTTGGGTTTCAATTCTGTAGTCTTTGGGGACATGAGACAAGGAAAGAAGAAACTCTACTATTTCTTGGAATGTTTATGTCTTTCCAAACCGCATTTGAAAACTTATTCCTACTGTGCTAGCATTAAGACATGAAATTATTAGGAAGTTACTCAGCCATAGTAGTTCTACCCTTGTGGATACATTAGTGCTTACTCCTTCATTGTAAGGACATGGGGTGCCTCCTTTCTGGAAGGCAGTTTTCAAATCAAGATATTAAAAGTAGAGACAGCAGCCCTTAATACCCTGAACATCTTCCCACACCTTCATTCTTAACAACTTGGCCTCCAGAAATGTGAAAAATTGATTTTCTCTTTTTCATGAATTTCCCAGCTCCAAGGATCTTTTTTTAAAAGATTTATTTGTTTATTATGTACACAGTGTTCTGCCCACATGTACCTGCAGGTGAGAGGAGAGCACCAGATCTCATTAGAAATGATTGTGAGCCACTGTGTGGTTGCTGGAAATTGAACTCAGGACCTCTGTAAGACCAGTCAGTGCTCTTAACTGCTGACCCATCTATCCAGGCCCCCAAAATCTTCTTATAGCATCATAGTTATACCAATACACCCCTGTAAATGCACTAGGTAACTAGATTCAGCAAACACAAGTGACTGATTTAGAATCTTTATACGATGAAGTCTAGCTAGATCCAGATGTACAAAGTATTGGAGGATAGCTGAGCATGCTGGTACATGGAAGTCATTTGTGTACTTGTGAGATTGTGACAGGAGTACTGAGAATTCAGGGTCAGTCTAGACAGCACAGCGTTTTTAAAAAGAAAATAATGGAGGAGCATTAACTACAGTGACCTAGTGATCTTTTTAAAGCCATGTTAGCTGAAACTAAACAAGAAATTATTAAAATCTCAGAAATTTGCTGTTTCTGTAGAGACTTCTAACGTTCTAAGTTGTTTGTTTTTCTGATAAGATTGGGGAGAACAAACATGTCTCTACATATTTATTTAATCTACATGAATAATTCTATAAAAATTTAGAGTTGTATGCATTATTTTAAAAGGATCATGTCTGTTTAAGACAACAGACAAAGTAAAATATTGGGATAGGTTATACAGAGATCACCATTTTAGACATTATTCTAAGGGGAAGGTGTATGTAATAAAAGATTCACCTTCTAGAAAGTGATACAAGGCTTAGAGTTTTCTTTGTTGATTTTTAATTTGGATAACTTATCTAAAGATTAGATGCAGGTGTTGAAATAGCTTATTCTCATTGTAAAAGGTTACCCCCCCCCCCCCCCGTGTAACCTTTTAATTCTCTTTTACTTGTTTTCTATGCTTTGTCTCCCAGTCTGTGGGTGTATTTATCAGTAAAGTATGTTCTTGGACATAATAGAAAGTCTGATGTATTTTTTAATCCAGCCAGCCAACCTGTGTCTCTTAAGTGGAGTATTGAGGCCATTTGTGTTATGATTGTAATTAAACATGCTTACTGATTTCTAAAAATGTTGTTGTTTGTCTTTTGGCTGGATGCAGTAAGTTTTTTGTTTGTTTGTTTGCTTGTTTTTTAAATCTTTCTTCCCTATCAGTTTCAGATGTTTGCTGGTTTAATGCTTTGAATTTTGCAGACTCCCTCCTGTCTTTTGTTCAGCTTGTACTGATGGAATTTCATTATTTCTTTGTTTTATTATTGAGACTGTCTTTCTTTCTTTCTTTTTTTTTTTTTTACTGTGAGAGTTATTGATGCTGGATCTGATATTATTTTGATGTTTCTACCTTTGTAGGTGAATAGGCATTTTGCCTTTATAGCTTTTACTATTAATTGCTTTGTTTATTTGACATATTTACAATAATGTATTATGGAGTTTTCTGTGTTCCTGACTATTTGAGTTTCTAAATGATCCTTATGGGTGGATTTATGGGGTTTTTTTTAGATTTAGGAAAATTTCTTCTGTAATGTCATTGACTAAATTGTCTATGCCTCTAGTATTTATTCCAGCTTCTTTTCATATCCCATAGATTATTGTCCTGGTTATTGTGATCACTCTTCAGAGTTCTTGGCTGTTGTGGCCATGTGCTTTTATCTCATTTTTATTTTCTATATTGATTTTGGATGAAGTAATTCATCAGTTGTGTACTCCATCTCAAATATCCTTTTTTTCTGATAAATTGAGTTTATCTTTGTGTTTGAATGGCAGGTTTGAATTTTGACATGGAGAGTATGGAGTTATACAAACGTGTAAAATCTCTCTGAATCTCTGCAAAGCAAGACACTTAAATGTATACCTTCAAACATACATCGTCTTCTTCTCTAAACTCTTTTTAGTTTATGGTCTCTGTAACATACAGCTTTTCATGTAGAAATGTAAAATATTGGAATTTAGGAATAAGAATGCTTGCTTTGACAGGACATATACTATATTTGCAATGACACAGAGAATAGGTTGGCCCCTGTACAAGGACAACACTTACGCTTGTGAAGCTTTCCTTATTTTAATCACAGTTCCTGGCAAGTAAATTTTATCCAAAAGGCTATAAAGCAATTTTAGTGAAATATTTAAAAAATGATGTATTAGAGTTTTGCATGTTCTCCAGAATACATAATCCCAAATTTTATAGTGCTTCAGGAACTGGGCTCAGAATGTTGTCTGTGTTCAATTCCACTATTTTTGCATCTCTTTTGAGACTTAAAGCTACACACAGTATCTCTGAAGTACAACGTGTGACACCAAATTGGAGTGAATGGACTGGTTGAGAGCCTTTATCAGTGGCTATCACAGGACATGTAACATGGTACTCAATAAAGGTTAACAAGTATTAAATAAATAGCATGGTATTACTCATTGGGAAATCAAGTTCCTTAAAATGTCACAAAAGATATACTTGACAAGAAATAAGGATCCACATTTTTTGATGATTTGTGAATTGAGGTTACTTGTGATGAAGGGATTTACAATTAGACTGATAGTAATTCATAACTTCCAACTTGAGAAATTGGGGTCTATGCAAACCAGGTGATGTATTTGTGAAGTGAGGATGTCTTGGAAAATGAAGAATTAATGAGACATTCAAGAATAAGATGGATGAAAATGCACTGCATCAATGCATAAAAACAGTGGGGGGGGTCACATTGAGAGTCCTGCTCAAATAAACTAAGCACACAAACTTGCAAACGTTATGTTTTTAAAATGACAGTATGTTTTTGTTAGAAGGCATAGACAGGCGGATCTGTGTGAGTTCTGGACCATCAAGAGATGCATATATGAACCTGTCTGTGAATAAATAAATGAATAAATACAAATAGATATGATAGTATGTATCTCTTCATATTTTCTACAGACTTAATTGTTGTAAAATGTTTTTGTGAAATGCTAACCAGAAGATTTCATACATTTAAGGTGAGAAGGAGAAAAATTACCACCGGCATCCAGCAGCTGGTCTGGTGTGATTCTTCCAAGCAAGAATTTGGCATTCTTTCTGCAGGTTATGGTCTCTCTCAGGACTTGATTTTCCCATTGCCGACTTGAGAATTTCACAGCATGTCCTCATATATGCTCATGGCAAAGGAAGACAATAAAAAGACCACTCCAACACCACACATAATACTGTCTAATCTGCCAAACACTTCCCTTTCCTGTCCAGTGTGAGAGCCTGCTGCTTCCCTGACCATCACAGCTTTGGGATCAAGCCTTCTCATCTCTAAGTGAAAGGAGTAATGTCTCAGTGGTGGTTAAGAGCACTTGCTGCCCTTGTAGAAGACCTGGGTTTCAGTGCCTAGTAACCACTTTGAAGCTAACAACCATATGTACCTCAGTTCCATTGGGTCCATTGCCTTTTGATGCCCTCCTAGGGCACTGCACACATATGGTGCATAGATATACATTCAAACAAAACACACATACACATAAAATTTTAAAAAAATCATTTAAAAATCACTTAAAACAACAAGAAAATACGCCCCCCCCCCCGAAAAAACAGAATCATAGAATTATCCTAACTTCCTGAGAATATCCAACCTACAGCAAGGTCTTGTATCCTGAAACTCTCCCCAACGTCACATAACTCTTAAGTTTGCAGCATGTCCCTTCTAATGTTCTCTTAACAGCTGTGAGTTAGAAACCCAACTCATGCATCTGGACCTGTGTTCATCATGGGCTCTGTGCAGTTAAAGAGAGCAGTGTAATTGGGTTTGGGAGGTCCTCTAAAGAATTATATTTGAATAAGTCTTTAGTTTCTGGATTGATGTTTGATGATTGGAGCCTAGTGGGTTGTCTTCCCATCACTGGATGCATATACTTGAGAATGGTGGTCTCCATTCCCATCCCATTTCTCCTACTTGTTAACCTACCACTTGTACATCCTAATCAGTTGTTAGTAGGCTTTGCTACATCATACACACCTGTCATGTGATATCCACTCCATCAGAGACAAAATTAAGGGGATTTTGGGGAGAACAGATAAGAAACTCTGATGTTTGAGGCAAATTTAACCTTATCTCTTGTTAATTTAATTATCTATCTATGGTATTTGATAGAGTTCCAGAAATGTCACTAACATATAATGGTGGTGGAGGTGGGGCTGGATAAACAACCTTCTGATAATATTAACAGACCTTTCAACATTTCTGAGAAGACATCTCTTAAGGCAGATTTGTCTAATGTAGAGACAGATTTATATAACAGCGAAGGCAGTTAAAGATTGCAATGTCACCAAGGATTATTATTTTTGCAATTCACTCCGGGATACTCTTTTCAATAACAAACTCACTCAGTGCATTTACAATGTGATTGATTATCAGAAATTTGATTTAGGTGGATCTTTCTGTGAGAACATTGAAAGCAGGATGCAGCTGCAAGGGAAAATATTATGATGCCTTCGTCTAGACAATAATTTAATCTGCATTCATGCTTTTGTCCCTAAGTTCACTACTCTAAACTTAATTAAATCCAACTCAGGGAAATTTATTTAAAGGAAGGATGTTTCTTAAGGGCTTATGTGAAACATGATAGCATTTCTGTTTTTTGTGGTTTTCCAGATAACCTTCTTATAGCTTCATGTTAGAGTAAGAAAATGTATCTTTTCTATATTTCCTGGAGAATAAATTCGTTCAAAACATTTGAGTAAATCAATTTTCAATGACAAACAATTTCTTGTTTCCTTACCTATCTATGCACCACCCTCCCCTAATGTTGTATAACCCAAATACAAACAGTGGGCACTTTATATGAAACTGGATTTAATTCAAAGTCTTGACTAGGTCTCATTTGGCAGAAATGTTATTAGATTATGCGTATATTTTTAATGTAGTTGGAGATGAATCACTGAAATAGAACATAATCCATCTAAACTGTGACCATCTTTTTTTTTATATATAGAAAACCAGCAATCAGAAGTGACTATGATGATCTCTTTTCTTCTAGCAAGCATCATATACAAGATTTATTTCCATGAAATCTGTGTATTACCTGGTCATCCCCATGGATTGTGGGAATAAGGCATTGCAAACTTTGCAAAATTAAAAAAAACTATGGGTAAACATAGTATTTTAAAAATCTTAAGCATCATTAATGATAAGAAGCTATCACACCATAACTTGAAAAGAAAATATCGATGTAAAACTCTAAGACTGTATTTAGCATGATCCAGGGAAGTGTGTTCAGAGAAGATGAATGGTGCAGTGGTTCCACAAGCACAACTGAAGTGGCTGTGCTGAAAATACAATCACTTCATGAGGCAGATGGTACAGAGTGTACTTGTATCCACTGGGAAATACATTATTATTCACACAAACAAACGCTGCATTAAACCTTCTGCATGTCTGTGTTCTCAGTCTTCTCTATATAAAATAGACTAGTTGTTTTATTTATTTTTGTTTGTTCCAGAAAGTTAGGACAATCATGTTAGAATATCTGGATCTTATCATTTTCACCTCCCTTATTTCCCCTTAAGATAATGATTTTTTCATTGATATTTTGAAATTTGTGGATACATTAGGTGATGGATATATTGAGTCAATGATAATTCTGGCTTATAGATTATTTTCAATACTTCTTAAGAGTGTCATCTCATTAAACATCCATCAGTTGACCAAAACAGAAAACATGCAGTGTCAATTCCTTTATGGGTGTTGGGTAGGGCATATAAAACTCTTGCTGCCCTAGAAGTCCTGTCCAGACCTGTCCTCTTCCCCCACACTTTATCTTTCCCTCTGAGTGGTCATTGACACAGCTTATGAGATTACAGTGTTTGAGAAAACATCCTGGGAAACTGTAGGGATTATAATCTTCATAAGGATAGCTTCATAAGCAGCTTCATTCCTGCTATAGTTTGGATCTGGAGTGTTCCCAAGAAGCCTGCATCAAAGACTTGGTCACAGCTTGTAGTGTTACTAGGTGATAGAAACTTTAAGAGTTGGGAACTCGTGGATAGACTGGTCATTTGTTTGACCTCAAAAAAGATTGTGAGATGCTCTTTTGGCCTTGGTTTTGGCCCTGGCTGTGTGTCTTAGTCAATGTTCTATGACTGTGAAGAGACACCATGGAACAGAAACTCTTATAAAGAAAAGTATTTAATTAGGGCTTGCTTACAGTTTCAGAGGTTTAGTCCTTTATTCTCATGGTGGGGAGCATGGCAGCTTCCAGGCAGACATGGTAGCTAAGAGTTTTATATCCTGAGCCACAGGTATCAGAAAGAGATCCTCTCTCTGAGCTTGGCTTGTGTTTCTGAAGCCTCAAAGTCCTACCCCAGTGACATACATTCTCCACCAAAGCCACACACTCCCCAACAAAGTCACACCTGGTAGTCTTTTTCGATAATCTCACTCCCTAGTGACCAAGCATTCAAATCTATGAGCCTATGCGGACCATTTTTATTCAAACTATTACATTCCACTCTGGTCCCCATAGGCTTATAGCCATACCATAAAGCAAAAATGCATTCAGTTCAACTTCAAAAGGCCCCATAGTTTATCACAGTCTCAACACTGTTTAAAAGTCTAAAATTCAGAGTCTCCTTGGAGCCTTAAAGCAATCTCTTAACTACAATCACTGTAAAATCAAAATAAAAAAAGCAGATCACATACTTCAAATATTCAATAGCACAGAATATACATTACTATTACAAAAGGGCAGAAAGGGGGTATAGTGAGGAAACACTGGACCAAAGAAAGATCTAAAACCAACAGGGAAAAAATCTAAACCCTGAATCTCCATTTCTTATGCCAAAGCAGTTTTCAGATCTCCAACTCCTTTCAGCTTTGTTGACAATAACACACTTCTCTCTTTGGGCTGGTCCCATACCCTGTTGGCAGCTTTCCTCAGAAGAAATCCCATGACTCTAGCATCTCCAACATCTTGAGGTTTCCAAGGCAATCTAGTCTTCACTTTTACAGGTTCACAAAATGCCATCTTTGAGTCTCCATCCAGGGACACCTCTGGCACATTCTCGGCCTCAGCAGCTTTCCTTTACTGAGGAGGCAAGATTCCACAACCCCTTTC